CAGGGTGACAAAATCACTCAGTACTTTACTACCATATGTCCTCCTTTATCAATGAGTGGAACCACCTTTCCTAACCCAGAACACAGAAGTTATGCTCAACTCTTCCCAGTCCCTTGTTTTTCACAAATCACTGAGTCCTAATCAGGGCTCACAGAAGGTCTCTTTGTTCTATCAGCTGCTCTTCACCTGCACAGCTCCTGATGCTTCCCAACCCTGCCACTTATATTAGTAACTTAGCTCCTCTCCCTTCCCCCAGCTTCATTGCCTTCAATATTTTCACAAAAATAACAGGTTGATCCTTCTAAAATGCAGAGCCAGTCAAGCTATTTCCCATTTCCTCCCATGCTTAAAACAGGTCATCGAATTCCCCATCTTCAAAATGAAATACCGACTCCTGAGCTTGGCCCTCCACAGTCTGTTACCGCCAATTCCTACAGCCTCATCTTACGAAATTTGCCTTGTAGCCCACATTTTAGTCATACTGAAATGCATATACAGAGTACTGACATTTCAATCAGGTTGAAATGAATGTTTTGAATGAATTTCTGGGGAAAAATATGCTCTTTTAAACATTTGCACTTCTGCACATCCTCCTCATTTGACTCAGCTTGAACATCACCCAGGAAGCTGTGCCTGTTTTCCCTTAAGGGACTGAGAAAATTCTCTGTTTGTATATTCTCATGCAATCACATTGAACTAAATCTCAGCTACAACATCGTTTTATTATTTTATATAGTCAAATATGTGTTCCCTAGACAGTTAGGTTCGATGTTCCTTGAGGTTGTAGAGCATATTTTCTTCTTCCTACTCACATTGTCTTTTGCAATGTCTGGCACATATTTGTACTCTATCAATGCTGAATGAATGAACTCAAGCAGTACTTACTAGTACTCTTTTGTGGTTAGTAATGTGATGAAGCATGTACATGATCTAATTTAAACCTAAAAGTGTTTCACTTTGTATAGACGCATAGAGAGATGTGGAAACAGAAACCAAATCACAAATCTCTTAAGTTGTTCTTCTTATTGTAGACACTAACATCCTTGTCCTTAATTTTGCATGTGTGCCCACACAAACATACGATGTTTCTCATTCTGTAGAAATGCTCTCTTAGGGAGCATCAGGCAAACTAAATTATTTAAAATACTTCTGTGAAGGGGAGAGACTGTTATTGTAATTAGGTACATGTAACTAGAACATGCTAGACAAAAAAGTCTTAGGTAAGAAAACGGTATTCTATTGATATTTTGGGGAGTATAATTCTCTTTAAATAATATTATTTTTAAAAGAAACAATATATAGATAGCTCATTAAGACATTATTTTACTTTTTAAAACATTTATTTTGGATTCAGGGGTACATGCACAGATGTGCTATATAGGTAAACTGCATGTCGCAGGGGTTTAGTGTACAAATTATTTTGTCACTCAGGTAATAAGCATAGTACCTAATAGGTAGTTTTTTGATCCTCACCCTCCCCACACCCTCCACACTCAAGTAAGCCCCAGTGTCCATTGTTCCCTTCTTGGTGTCCATGTATACTCAAGGTTTAGCTTCCACTTATAAGGGGGAATGTGCAGTATTTGATTTTCTCTTCCTGAATTAGTTTGCTAAAGATAATGGCCTCCAGCTCTATCCATGTTCCTGCAAAAGACATGATCTCATTTTTCATGGCTGCATAGTATTCCATGGTATATGTGTACCACATTTTCTTTATTCTATTTCCCGTTGATGGGCAGGCAGGTTGATTCCATGTCTCTGCTATTGTGAATAATGCTGCATTGAACATACATATGCATGTGTCTTTATGATAGAATGATTTATATTCCATTGGGCATATAGCTAGTAATGGTATTGCAGGGTTGAATGGTAATGTTTTAAGTTCTTTGAGAAATCACCAAACTGCCTTCCACAATGGCTGAACTAGGTTATATCCCACTAGCACTGCATAAGTCTTCCCTTCTTTCACAGCCTCTCCAGCATCTGTTATTGTTTTCCCTTTTTAGTGATACACATTATGACTGGTGTGAGATGGTATTTCATTGTTCTTTTGATTGGCATTTCTGTAATTATCAGTGACACTGATATTTTTTTCATATGACTGTCAGCTGCTGATATGTCTTCTTTTGGGAAGTGTCTGCTTATGTCCTTTGCCCACTTTTTAATGTTGTTGTTTGTTTTCTTTCTTGTAAATTTGTTTAAGTTCCTTAGAGATTCTGAATTTTAAACCTTTGTCAAGTACATAGTTTGTCAAAATTTTCTCCGCTTCTGTAGGTTGTCTGTTTACTCTGTTGAGTTTCTTTTGCTGTGCAGAAGCTCTTTAGTATAATTAGGTACCATTTGTCAATTTTCAGTTTTGTTGCAATTGCTTTTGGCATCTTTGTCATGACTTCTTTGCTGGGTCCCACGTCCAGAATGGTATTTCCCAGGTTATCTTCCAGGGATTTTAGAGTAAACCATTATTTTAAATAATCAAATGCATCTTTGAGACTTCAAGGATTATTAAAAATAACATACTTCAACCTCTTTATATATTAAAGGAATTAAGGCTTATAGGGTAAAAACAGCTTGCATAAAACTGTACAGCTTAAAAATGGAAAAGTCAAAAGATGTTGGAACATTGAAAATTAGGTACGGCTCATTCCTTTATTGTAAATGATAGGGTTAATTTAAAATACTCTGGCTTCTAGGATTTTCTCTGCAACTTTAAAGCCTCAGTTAGATATTTAAAACCAAAATGAAGAGCAGTGATTCTATGTAGTACCCCCTAATGACTATTTTATTTGGCAATTCTATTTATTTTATTATCACTTTATATACAAATTTAAAAACAAATGTATCACTCTATTTGAGTGTAACGGGTGTTGCAGGGGCAGTTTACATGTCATCTGCTTTCAGCATTAAGCTCCTGACAAGCAGAATCTCAGGACATACAACTTATGTGCCATTAAAGCGTCAGGGTCTCTTAATGAAGTACAAACCTAAAGCTAGATAAGGCCAACCAGCACCTAATCACTCTGAGGAAAACTAAACCACAAAAGGTAATATCTTGAAAAACTATTCCTACTAATATAGAGATACTATATCTGACACACAGAATCTGGGTCAAGAAATGATTTTTTAAGTGACAGAACTGTCTGTAGTAAGATCATTTCCACTCCTACTGCATTGTTTTTCTTTTCACTAATGCTAATTCAATACAGACAATGCAAATTAACCTTAGATCTCACTTTTAATTATTTTAAATGAGGTATTATATGATGAGCAATAGTTGAGACATTTTAGATGAATTTTACTGACTCAGGTCACTAAGTACTCTTCCTTGTTTCCCTGAAATGTTTTATATTCTAGAAAATATTTGATGTTCATGTTATAATTACTTATTCTTATTCATAAAGATAATGAAAACTCCTACAACTTACATGATGTGACACACAATTCACAAACTGCTTTCATATAGATTTCACACAATCTCTACAATCCTATAGTATTTTTATTTTTTTATTTCACAGAGTGTTAGGAAGCTCAGGGATATTATATTAATTTGGAAGTTCACATAATTATAAGTGGGTAGATCCTGAAGTTGATCTTATATTTTCAGACACCAGGTCCAGTGTTCTGTCCACTACTGAATTTTGTGATGTTGTTGACAGCATAATATTAGAAATGGAGTAATGCAGTTTTTTTTCCAATGAAGTTATTCAAAGCATATCAATTTTGGCTTCTAATTGCATTTTCTTTATCAAAATATGCTTCTATTCTAAGAAAAAAGTTTCCAAATTTTGGATTCACTGAAAAAAAAACAGCATTAAATAACGGATAAATAAACTGCAAAGAAAGAAGAGAAAAGAAAGGAAGGAAGGAAAAAAGGAAGAAAGAAAAAGGAAAGAGGGAAGGAAGGTGGGAGGGGAAAAAGGAAGGAAGGAAGGAAGAAAGGGAGGGAGGAAGAGAAGGAGGGGAAGGGAAGGGAATAAAGAGGAAAGATGGTGGAAGGAAAAGGAAAGAAAGGAAAGAAAAAGGAGAGAAAAAGGGAAACATCAGGCATTTCAATGCCAAGAAAGTTGTACATTAGATATTTAAACAGTCTACCTTTTAAACTCTCTACATCTTCTTAGCAAACCCTATGAAAACTTATTTGTATGTAAATATGTATGGTTTTCTAGGGCAAAGAACATAAAGCTTTCATCCATAATAGTCCATGGTAGTATTACCAAAGGAGACCACTATCTGAAATAAGGAACTATTTGTGCAGGAGATGGAGAAAATAACAGAGCAAATTCTTCTAAGAGTAAAGGAGCAGCTAACTGATCTGTTAGCTGCTTCTTTACTCCTAGAAGCAACTGAGGGTAGAGGGAGGGATCTATGAAACTCATGGAATTTGAACTTAGTCTTGAAAGATGGACTGAATTTCAAGAGGAAGCAGGGAAAAGAGGGCATTTTATGCTAACAGAAAAGCAGGAACAAATAATACAAAAGAAAAATGAATATTTTGGAAAGCAGATATTTCAACATCTGTTGAACGGTTCCGGTGAGTCGGAGTGCTTAACAAGGGGCACTGATCAGAAAGCAAGTCAATTTTCAAGCCCCATTCCTGGTTTCCCACTTTGTAGTTTTTCTTGGTTCTTATATATAAAGGATAGGCCATAGTTCTATTCTGTTATAGAAGGACTGTAACTTCTTGTTAAATTAATCTATGCACACTTCCTACCTCACTGTAATAAACCATTTGGTAATTTCTTCCACTAAAGAAATCAAATTATTTTCCTGTAAGTATATAGCCAGAGCATTTCTCAAAGAATATAATGACAAAAAAAGGATAATCCTTGCCTTTGTTATTGTAGATTCTAATTATAAGCCTTTTTAACAAGCTGAGTTAACATCCCAATCTAGCCCATTCTTGTTTCTCTTTGCATGTGTTTTACTCATTAAGCCACCTGAAACTTTTCCAATTCATAGAATTCAAGAAAACTAGGTTAACAAAAAACATGTGTCAAGAGTAATTTATTTTATCTCTAAATTTATTTAAATGTATTTTTTAATACTGTCTCAGTCCAGCACTTTACAGATTTATAAAGAAAGAATTGACTATTAAGGGGAAGTAACTTTAGAAACAAGGATCATTGGTTACATGAGCTTTAAATTCCTTCTCTAAAAATTCTGCTTTATATGTTCTCAAATTATTTTCTCTTTAGAGGACAATAATTTGTTACATGCTTGGTTCTTTTTAAATTGATTTAATATGTTTGCTAGATTATTAGATGGTTTGTAGTTGCAACTTATGTGGAGATTCAGTTCTAAAATCAGAACTGAATCAGTTCTGAAATAGAAGGTGAAAATCCCATTTACTAATTATCAAATGCCAACTGAAAATAGTCTCTACCAAAGATAAACAAATGGAAACTCATAAATTATAGAATAAAAATGCATTGAGTTACAAATTGCTAATTTAAAGTGCCATTTGATGAAGCTTTATTATATATTTAATTATAGGAATCTCACTGATAGTGTATAAATAGAAAGCATACTAAGAAATTATACTCTTTGTGTCAAAAATTGTTGAAATTGTGCTGATTTATTATCCAGTTTCTCTTACCTCTAAACTCTCTATACTGTGTGATGCTGGGGCTCACAGCAAACTATGATCCCCAGTTGGGGAACTGAATTTCTGCCAGTAGGCAGCATAATGGAGTAACAGTGGGAGACGTGGGGAGAGGGACAAGGAGCTTCCTCCTGTCTTACTTCTTTCCCTTGGAGCTATGCTTCCCCTGGTCAAGCCTGCAACTTCTTTCTGTATTCGCTAAACCAGCCACATAGGTCCTTTGTCTTCACTGTTTCTTCTTTATCCCAGGCTCTTCCTGTACCTACTATTCTAGGTCACCAGTTTTACCTTTCTGCTCTTTCAGCTCATCAGTATCTGTGTCATAATACCCCAAAGCAAATCGACTCTATTTTAAATTCCTAATATGGTTTCCGTTTTCCCATCAGGACTCTGACTTATACTAGAAATGATTTCCAAATGAATGCTAGTCTGACGCTTTGGCATCTTCTACAATAACCACAAAACAAGGTTGAAGAGAAGATTCAGAAAAAGCCAAAGACAGTGTCTCACCCTTTGCAATCAAAAAAGAGTACAGACACAAATATGTACTGAATCCAGTGAGCAAAAAATGTATTCTCTGAAGTTACCCAAGGCAAAACAAAATTGTCTAGATGTCAATCACTCTGAGATGTGGAAGTGAAAGGAGGGCAATTTTATAAGAGAGCTTTCCACTAAACACTAGGCCAAAAGCGAGGGAGGGGGAAGAAGGGCGCAGGCAAGGAGGTAAAGATGAAGAACAATTTTATCTTCTTCACTTTGAGAGCTTTGACATTATTTTATGCTTTTCAGCTTCAAAAATTGCCTTGTTCATAAAAGTTTCATGGGTAATTTAGGTATTTTCTGCAAAAAAAAAAAAAATACAGAATATATAATGAGTTTCTGAGTTCAGAAGTTTTCTCCATTAGCAACTAATGTCTAATTCCTCTCAAAAAGGCACCTCAGATATTTTGGTCCCTTTCAGCTACTTGCATTCTCATTCAAGCGAATAGCTAAATGAAAACTGAGCACCATCATTTTAATGTACCCTTGAGAATAAAGGCAATGTTATTTTAAATGTTAAATATTTTAGTTCCAGAAACCAACATGGCACTTGAATTTCTTTTAGAATAAAGAAAATAAATATCTCTACTTGGCCATCCATTAATTGTACTTGGGCCACAATTTCATGGCAACTCCCAGCATAAGCCACTGACAAGTGAGTTGTAACACAGTTGTTCTAAGGATTCCAATAATCACAGTCACAACGAAACCTCACTGAACACTGCTGACACAAGCAACATATAGACAATTAAAAGTAGCCAAAGACTTGGCCGGGCACAGTGGCTCACACCTGTAATCTCGGCATTTTCAGAGGCTGAGGCAGGTAGATCACCTGAGGTCGGGAGTCCGAGGCCAGCCTGACCAACATGGAGAAACCCCATCTCTACTAAAAATACAAAATTAGCCAAGCATGGTGGCGAGTGGCTGTAATCCCAGCTACTTGGGAGGCTGAGGCAGAATTGCTTGAACCCGAGAGGCAGATGTTGTGGTGAGCCGAGATCATGCCATTGCACACTCCAGCCTGGGCAGCAAGAGTGAAGCTCCATCTCCAAAAAAAAAAAAAAAACTAGCCAAGGACCTCTTAAATAGGGAGACATGGATATCCTAAAGATGTTAGAAATAAGCTGAACTTCCCTACTCATCTATAAGTGTGCAGGCAGATCAATTAGTTCTTTATGTTGATATATTTAGTGGCAGATTATTGCAGGAAAATAGTTTGGGCCCTGCTCATTCTGGTTTTTTTTTTCCAAATACAATAATATCATTTCATATTTTTAGAAGAATGTACAAATCCTTTCCACATCTCTTATCTATCTTGATCCACACAGAAGCAATTCTCTGACTTGACAGGCAAATACATACATGCTCTTGGAGGTGAAGCCTCAGGTTTGATCCCACGGATGTTCAACAGGAGTCAGTACTGAGCAGTCAGAATCATCAGCAAGCTGGGAAATGCGGTCATCAGTATTCTCAAACAAAAATGGTATACTCAGGGTTTAAGTTCTAATGTTTCAAGGGAAAAATAAGTTTTACTACATATGTCAGAGGATAAATAATTTCATCCAGACCCAAGCAATTCTTTTGTCCTATATTCACAAGGAAATAAAACTAGATTATCAAGTTACATACACTCCTTTGGAGCCAAAGTCTTTCTTGCAAAGTAGAAAGTCCAAATAATGAGAATTATGATTTGACATGACCTGAAACTCTCCTTGGATTACTCACATGTAACAGATGTTAATGGCATTCTACAAGCTAAAAAGCAATATAAACTAAAGCAGAACTACAGGAGATAAGCATTTTCAAGATCTCAGCATAGTTTAGGCCAGTGGTTTTCAAAACATGGTTCCTATACCAGCAGCATCAGTTTGTTTAGGACCCCGTAAGAAAATACCTAAACTAAGTGGCTTGTAAGCAACAGAAACTTATTTCACTCAGTTCTCAAGGATGAGAAGTTCAAAATTAAGGAGCTGGCAAATTCGGTGTCTAGTGAGGGTCTACTTCCTGGTTCATAGCCAGCTTCTCACCATATCTTCACATAGAGGAAAGAGGAAGGGAACTCTGTTGGACCCCTTTATTATAAAGTCACAATCACATTTGTGAGAGATTCACCCTTATAATCTAGTCACCTCCCAAAAACATGAACATTAGGACTCAATAAATGAATTTAGGGGAAACACATTTTATACATAGTGTTCAGCATCAATTGGATACTTGTTAGTAAAGCAAATTTCTGAGACCTACTGAGTCATTAATTTTGAGGAGGTACCCAGATATTGATATTTTACAAATGCCTCCAGGTAACTGTGATGTATGTTTAAGATTCAGAACCTCTGGGGTAACAGAAAAAAAAATCTCAAGGTCAAATTTGCATTAGTAAACAGACTCAACTGTCTGCTGGGTCACACTGGGTAATTTATCATATTGTAAATTTCTTCTTCAGCAAAATGAAAATAATATTTTCTCTCTGTATTATTTTCAAATTTTAAATAGTCATAACAGCCAGTGTTCCTCTGCTAAAACTCAGCACAGAAGTGCCCCAATGAGAGAAGAGAATCAAACAACCACTCCACAAGAACGTTACTACTAAAATGAAATTACATGGAAACCTGCTTCGACTTGAGCAAATTTTGGGCCATAAAAGTTTAAAAACCACAGAGGTTGCCAAAAGACTCCACACAGAGAGGGCCATTCTGTAAGAGGACCAAGCATGGTTTATGCATTGAGGTAGAACCCAGGCCTCATCCATATTTCATTACTCCTTTGGAGAGTGAATGCACGAGATTTCAGGCCATAAATAATTTACCTAAACACCCACAGATCTTCTAAGTATTAGGGCTGTTCTTTCAAATAGACCAAAACCTGTGAAAATTTGCCAGAGACAGTCAGCCATGCCCAGAAGCAAAAGCCGTTCCTTAATGAGAGCAAGGCCAGCAATGGAATTGTAATAGCATTCCAGGACTAATTTCATTCCTGGAAATGGGATTTTCTCATGCTCTTCCCACAGAGTCTAGAAGGCCTCGGACCCTCACCCTAGGTCTTCCTAATGGCTTCTAGAACAGATCTAATCTTGCTAGTCTCTAGCTTCAGAAATCTAACTTTTCAGAATCTCATCCACACAATTCCAACTGTTTTTTCTGACCTCAGAGGGTTAGATTTAACTCTTTCTTCCTACTACAGTGGAAGGAAGGGACACAGACACTATTCTTGGAGATAGGATCTCCAGGATTGATGATTTCCCCAAAAGGTCCAGTGGCTGATAGAAGGAGCCTCTTTTTCTTTAAGAAAATTTCAGTGTGTCTTTAATTGTGAGCATTTCCCTTCACTTGAAGCCCCAAACCCTAAGATGATTCCTGGCATTAAGATGATTTAGGGGCCAGGTGCAATGGCTTACACCTGTAATCCCAGGACTTAAGGAGGCTGAGGCGGACAGATCATGAAGTCAAGAGATCGAGACCATCCTGGTCAACATGGTGAAACCCCATCTCTACTAAAAATACAAAAATTAGCCAGGCATGGTGGCATGTGCCTGTAATCCCAGCTACTTGGGAGGCTGAGGCAGGAGAACTGCTTGAACTTGGGAGGTGGAGGTTGCCCTGAGCCGAGATCATGCCATTGCTACTTCATTCTGGGTGACAGACACCGTCTCAAAAAAAAAAAAAAAAAAAAAAGAGGACTTAGGGACCAGGCCAGGTGCAGCAGTTAAAACCTGTTATGCCAGCACTTTGGGAGGCTGAAGCTGGCAGATCACTTGAGGTCAGGAGTTCAAGATCAGCTTGGCCAACATGGTAAAACCCCATCCCTACTAATAACACACAAATAAAATAGCTGGGCGTGGTGGCAGGTGTCTATAATCCCAGTTACTTGGAGGCTGAGGCAGGAGAATCATTTGAACCCAGGAGGAGGTTGTAGTCAGCTGAGATCGCACCACTGCACTCCAGCGAGGGTAAGAGAGCCAGACTCTGTCTCAAAAAAACAATAATAATAAAAAGATTTAGGGCTATAGAATTTGCTATGGTATCCACAATGTCCCCAGAATCTGTTCAGCTGCTTAGCAATATATCAGGCGCTCCAAAGTTAAGAAATTCCAAATCATTTGTGAATTCTGATGGAGCCCGGAATTGTTTCTGTAGCTCACAGTAGGTATAGGAACACTCAGTGATTAACCCTAGGTCCTTCTCTGAAGCCCAGGTTGTCCAGAAACCTCACGAGTTTCCTCCTCCATCATGTGAGGGTGTGTGCACCCTGGAGGCAGAATCAGCACCTGAGCTACTTCCAGGTTCAGAGACGGTGCCCAGGCTGCCCCCTAGAGCTGATTGCCCCCAGAAATCTTTTACTTCATCTTCTCATGGAAAAAAATTCCAGGGAGAGTATAGCCCTAACTGCCCCTGGAAGCACTGAAATCCAAGATAGAGATCCTAAAGATTTCTTTAGCTTTTCTGGAGTAAGTAGAATCTGTCACATGGCCTCAGCTTAGAATAAAACCCAGCAGTCATTAGCAATATTCCTATTGAGTTTATAGATGACTGTGAAGATCTCAAAGTTGGCACAAAGATTCACAGATCAACTCTGGGTGGGGTTAAGGCTATCAAGAATTAGGCATAAACCTGCAATTACAGACTGTGTTCTGGCCACATTCAGAGACCCTTAATTCTGAGACCTCTAGAAACGTGTGCTAGTACTTCTCTAGGACAGGGAAAAAGCCCTCTATATACCAACTCCTAGGCTTGAGAAGTTAATAATAATGAAATGGAGAAAGTTTCTAGGGGAATTTGGCCAGCTTCTTGGGAAATGTTGACTTTATGTAAAAAAACACCATATGTCTGAATATTTATCTCAGTGTCAGGTACCTGATGTTAGAGGTTTTTACTACAAAAACAAACAAGAACAACAAAATCTTATAGCTACCCCAAAACCCTATTATTCCCACAGTGAGACATCCAAAGAAGAAATGCCTCAAGGCATACACAGAGGGCTGAATGCTTGTGTCCCTCAAAATTCATATGTTAAAATCCTAGTTCCAAAGTGATATATTTAGAGGTGGGAACTTTAAGAATAATTAGGTCATGAGGGTGGAGTCCTCTTAAGTAGGATTAGTGCCCTTACAGAAGGAACCCTCTTACCCTCTTTCTGCCATGTGAGCCTACAATGAGAAGTCAATAGTCTACAGTGGGAGGAGGGTCCTCGCCAGAACTCTACAGTGCTGGCACCTTGACCTTGGCATTCTAGCCTCCAGAACTGTGAGAAATCAATTTCTGTTGTTAAAAGCTACTCAGTCCATGCATGGTAGTTGGCTACAGCAGCACAAGTTGACTAAGATAGTACAAACCATCCCTTACAGTACAGAGGGCCTTCACTGGATAAGACCCAAATGTCTTCCAAGGACCTGGGAATCTGCCGAGCCATCCTGTAGTCAATCTCACAAAGGTTACTGTTAAGTTTGCATCAGATTTATTACTTCCCTAACAAAGGTCTGCAAAACCAGCTATTTTTTCTTACTTTTACTCAAAAGTAAAATATGTTATAACAATTCTAAAAGAAATACAGTTGTTTATAAAGTAAAACTAGGCCAGGTGCGGTGGCTCAAGCCTGTAATCCCAGCACTTTGGGAGGCCGAGGCGGGTGGATCACGAGGTCAACAGATCGAGACCATCCTGGTCAACATGGTGAAACCCCGTCTCTACTAAAAATATAAAAAAAATTAGCTGGGCATGGTGGCGTGTGCCTGTAATCCCAGCTACTCAGGAGACTGAGGCAGGAGAATTGCCTGAACCCAGGAGGTGGAGGTTGCAGTGAGCCGAGATCGTGCCATTGCACTCCAGCCTGGGTAACAAGAGCGAAACTCCATCTCAAAAATAAATAAATAAATAAATAAATAAATAAATAAATAAATAAATAAAGTAAAACTAGTTTTCTCCCTTCTCCACTTTCTCTAGGAAAATCTGATGTGTATTTTTGTATTATTTTCTATGATATATAAAACATGTAACTAATATATAGAATATTATGTATTTAACAAATTATGTCATAAACATACACACACATATATTCAACTGTTTCCAGGTTCATTTGTTTCACCTTGTTTTAGATCAATGTTTCAGTAGCTATTTTCTACCTTGTCTTTCTCCACCATCACTCTTCCTCCATAATCTTCCTTTTCATTGGTAAGTTAGGTAATCATAGGGAACTTTCACAACAACCCTCCTACCAACAACTATGTTCAGATTCTCTGCCTTCTCTCCTGTTCCTATGGCTGCCAGGACACTGTCTTCTCCTGGTTTTCTTCCTTTACAATGGGTCACTCATTCTCAGTCTGGATTCTGGTTCCTCCTTATATTCCCAAGTTCTGAACTGCAGACTGCCTCCAAGATGCATCCATAGACCTCTTATTTTCTCAAGAGACATCACTCTCTAGTGATCTGGTCCAGTTTTGTGGGTTTCAGTGCCATACCTACACTGATGCTTCCAAATCTCCATATGGAACCTCTTTCCTAAATCTCAGAGTAATGTGTTGATTTGCCCACCTCAAATCTCCACTTGGAGGTCTAACAGGTCTCTCAAAGTTACCATGTCTGATCTCCACTGTCTCCTCTCTCCAGTTGCTACTGTTGTTTTCATCATAGCAGCATCATAGTAAGTTTTACTATCTGGTAATGCAGGAATCCCTCATTGTTATTTGTCAATATTTTCTTCAGGTTCTATTGAAAAATGGCATAAGTGCTCATACTGGGTTCACAAAGATAAAATTTTGAGCAAGTCACTTCCCCTCTCTAGGACGTATTTGGAAAATTGGGTCAATAGTTTTCAGTTGTCTCATGGCAGTTGAGACATGTAGACTCTAGTTTTCACTTTCTCAGTGTTTCTGGAGATTGCTCTTACTTTATTTCAAGCTCTGTTACATTTCATCCAGATTCCCAGGTAGCAGGGTGTGTGTGTGTGTGTGTGCTTGCTTGAGAAAAACACAAATGAGTTCTCTTTTGCAGTGGAATTACAAAGTTTCTAATTTAGATTCAGTGTTTGTTATTTTTAACTAGGGAAAATAAGAAAAAAAGTATTGTTGATTTTATAAAGCATAGAGTCTTTCTCCCAAAGCTGATGATGGAAGAGGAAAAAGTAAAACCCTATTGTTTCATAAGATTTATTCCACTAAAAAATAAGTCATGAAGGTATTTCGAGGATTACTATCTTATAACAGAAATGTAACGGCAGCAGGATGATCCATATGACAGGCTGATAAAAATTTATTTTCTTTTCCACTTTTTGTTGTTGTTGTTTATACTTTGAGTTCTGGGTGCATGTGCAGAACGTGTAGGTTTGTTACATAGGTATACCCATGCCATGGTAGTTTGCTGCATCCATCTCCCCTTCATGTACATTACGTATTTCTCCTAATGTCAGCCCTCCCCAATCTCCCCATGCCCTGCTATCCCTCCCCTAATACCCCCACCCCCTGACAGGCCCCAGTGTGTGATGTTCCCCTCCCTGTGTCCATGTGTTCTCATTGTTGTGGCACATATACTCCATGAAATACTATCCACTTTTTATTTTGAAATTTTAGACCCAGAATAGTAGCAGTAACAGCACAAAGAAATACTAAGTCTTAAATTCCTGAATGTTAACATTTTACTGCATATGTTCAGCAATCCCATGCATGCTCTCTCTTTCCCTCTCATATCACTCCTTCTCTCTACATATGTATGTATACACGTGTATGTGAATATATATGTATAATACTTTCTAAAGAGAAAGCTGCAACAGAATTATAAACACTTGAATGTAATTCTCTAAAATGAAGGATTTTTTTTTTTTTTTTTTTGAGACGGAGTTTCACTCTTGTTACCCAGGCTGGAGTGCAATGGCAACATCTCGGCTCACCACAACCTCCGCCCCCTGGGGTCAGGCAATTCTCCTGCCTCAGCCTCCTGAGTAGCTGGGATTACAGGCACGCGCCACCGTGCCCGGCTAATTTTTTGTAATTTTTAGTAGAGACGGGGTTTCACCATGTTGACCAGGATGGTCTCGATTTGTTGACCTCGTGATCCACCCGCCTCGGCCTCCCAAAGTGCTGGGATTACAGGCTTGAGCCACTGCACCCGGCTGAAGGATGTTCTTTTACATAAACATTACAATTAATAAAATTGGTAAAATTACTTAACATTGATGCAATACTTCTGTGATACATAGATCAAAGTCACAGAATAAATTCAAATTTCTTCCATTTTTTCCATTAATCTTTTTTATAATGCAGGAATGTTATTTTCTTATCCAGAGCACAAGCAAGGGTAACACACTGCATGAGTAAATTGCGTGAGAGCCAAATCATGGTGGGCATTAAGATGTAGGTCTATTAAGAAATTTCTATTTAATCTTATAAGAATAGAAGACATTGGAAGTTTTAAACAGATTCTCAGATTTTTTGTTTTTGTTTTTTAAAGGCATTTCTATTGGCATTACAGAGAATGATTTGGAAAAACAAGGCTCTGTAATACATTTCTGGAACAGTGAGACACAAGAGGACAAGGCAGAGACTACACAGATGGAGAGGAGGGGAAAATAAGAGATGAATCAAAATTACGTGTGCAAAGGCAAGCTCTCTCCTCCACTCCAAAGTAGGAATTAAATAGTTTAAGTTTGTGATGGCAGACCTGTCCCTACCACTGGTATGATAACTCACTTACAAGGAAGAGAACAAGAAAATTTCCTACCTTCAATTTATGTTTGCATAAAACATTCTTATGCAAAGAATGTTTTAAGATTGAGTCTGTAATGCATTGTGCATTTCTCAGAGAAAAAGGAGAGCCCCGTTTAACAACTGCCCATTTCACATTTAAAAATCTGTTTACCCCATCACAGCCCCCTTTTATACACCAAATTAAGAAAGGCCTTGAATGTCAGCCCCAAAAGGTCTTACTGTATCCAATAGTCAGCATAATGTTAGAGATCCTTCTTAGTTTTGCACTTAAATAAGTAAATGGATGGTGCTAAACTTTTGTCATTTAACAAGCTAAATTAAAGAATAAGTAACAGCCTTATCAGTTAAAATAAAAGCATGCACAATATTAGGTTTACAATCCTGTAAAACCTAATGAAATATATTTATCAATTAAAATGTTTCACCTGAGAACTCAGGTTCTTAGGTTCATCAGACAGTTCAGTCTGCACATGAATCTTCTGGGAATTGAATTAAAAATGCAGATTTGGATTCCATGAGTCTGAGGTAGGGGTCTCAGATTCAGCATTTTAACATGCTGCCAGGGGTTGTCCATGATGCTAGTTCCCAGAGCACACTCTGAATAACAAGAATGTAATAACCATTGATAGAGTCTCACTGGGTAATAGATTCTTACTTGCAGAGGGAGGTGGCACAGCAGGTTAAAAAGAGTACAAGGGTGGCAGTCAAGGATAAGTAATTCAAGAACTGTCTCTGCCATTAATAAACTGGATGACATGAGGCAGATCCTATGACCATTTGGGGCCTCAGTTTCCTCGATGATCTGCAATGGAACTGTGAATTGGTTTTCTAGGACATTAGATATGTTTTTAGCAAACATTTAGTAAATGTATTTATTTAAAAATGTTCAATGTTTTCCTGCTGAGAATACATCTGAAGTAGTTACCATCTAATTATAAAGGAAATGGAAAACTAAATTACCTTCAAGAGAAAGTGACTTCTTCCCTTCATAAAGTTGCAGGCTAAATGAAAGAGAAAACAAAGATTGTGGCCAAAGAACCATAAATTGGGTGATTAAAATATTCCTTCTCATATATAGAAATATATACCCTACTTTTTTTGCCTCTTCAGGCATGGCCTTTAGCAAAATTCACTGGTTTTGAATTTGAAATGAAGCAGTTTTGCATTTCATTTAAACATCTGGCTCTCAACTGATGGGAGGCAAAAGACAATCAAGTGTAGTCTACTGCTTACAGAAGCATTCAGATTAGCAGGGGCAGAGTGTTCCCAAGAAATCAACGGGGTTCAATCAGAACACCCAAACTCCAAAAGTACACACCTTGCACAAAACATTATTTCTTCATAATTTTAAATAGTTATATTAGTCTGTTTTCACGCTGCTGATAAACACATACCCGAGACTGGGCAATTTGCCAAATAAACTGGTTTATTGGACTTACAGTTCCACGTGGCTGAGGAGGCCTCACAATCATGGAGGAAACTGAAAAGCAGGTCTAACATGGCAACGGACGAGAGAAGAAAGCTTCTGAAGGGAAACTCCCATCAGATCTCGTGAGACTTACTCACTATCATGAGAACCGCGGGGGAAAGACCCGCCCGATGACTCAGTCACCTCCCACCAGGTTCCTCCCACAACATGTGGGAATTGTGGGAATTACAATTCAAGATGCATTGGGGTGGGTACACAGCCAAACCATGTCAGTAGTAAACTAGATAGGATGGATTTTTAAAAAGTGAAGAAAGAGAAAAAGGGAAGGAAGGAAAGATGTATGATTTAAGTTGGCAGAGATTTACAGTGAGCACATTCATTCACTTTCTCTCAATCTTTAGGATCAGCTGTGTTTTTTAAAGAGCCGAGTGTCCAGGGGTCACCTTTTGCCAGCTGCCTGGGTCCTGTTGCTTTTGATCACTTTCCCAGGCAGATGTGATGTGATTCTGTTTGCCAGCTCACTCCTTTGAATCTGCTACCTTAGTGCACACTGCTCTCATCTCACTAGCAGGGCTGCCTCTGAGTGAAAGCACTTACTCCTGCCAAAGGCGATCTCCCCTTGGAAGGGCAAGCCCCTATCATCTCCTGACAGCCCAGACTCCCACGGCAGATGCAGCTCTCCCTCTGGTCCTGGTGTCAGATTCAAAGGCCTGACAAACTTCCATCAGCAGAAGCTCCCTTTTAATTGCTATAGATCAAAAAGTGCTGAATATGTCCATCAAAATAGAGTCGAAGAGGATACAGGAAGAGAAGAAAGATCAGGCATTTACCAAGATAACCCATGCTTTCTTTCTGCCACCTGATCCTATCTGATTAATGGGCTGGTCATTTTCACACCAATACCATAATAAAAGCAAACAATTTCTATGTCCGTATATGACCCTTCCTCTCATGTATTTTCTCTTTCCTGTGATTTGTTTGTCCCTAGAGCTACCTCATATTTCCATTAGGGGATGCCCAGCAACACACATCCACACATACAGGAGAGAAAGAGAGAGCACGTTGCCAATTTTTTTTTTTTTTTACATAGTTGCTATTCCTTTGTTCTTACCTGTTGCATTCCATTGACATGGCAAAAAACTTGATTTTTATAGCTGGAAGTGGGCTTCACTAAATAGAGTCTAACAGTTGAGTAAACTAAGGCCAAGAGAATTGATCTGACTTATGCAGGGTTACAGAGATGCTTTACCTACTACCCCACTTTCTATTTAATGTACCCTTCTACTTCACGACTGTGCTAGCTATATTTCAATAACCTGGTCTAAAACCTCAAGAGGCAATCACGTGTGCTGGTTGAAAATCAAACCCACTGTGCCACATTGGCCCTGCCACTCAATAGCTTCCTTCTCTGGATAGTGCAAATTTGCAGCCTTCCCTCCCTCATGGAGGAGCTGTGAGCATTGCAACTGCTGTCTTGGTAATGCTGTTTAGTCCAAACACACCAATGAGCTCTAATTTATCAACTATTATTTTTAACTTTTATATTAAGTTCAGGGGAACATGTGTAGGTTAGTTATGTAGATAAATTTGTGTCATGGGTGTTTGTTGCATAGATTATTTCATCACCCAGGTATTAAGCCTAGTACCCATTAGTTATTTGTCCTTATCCAGTCGCTCCTACTACCCTCCACCCTCTGAAAGGCTCAGTGTATATTTTTCCCCTCTATGTGCCCATGTGTTCTCATCATGGCTCTCATATTGCTCACACATGCAATATTTGGTTTTCTGTTCCTGTGTTACTTTGCTAAGCATCATGGCCTCCAGCTCCATTCAGAATCCTGTAAATGATATTATCTCATTCTTTTTTATGGCTGCATACTATTCCATAAATGTGGTATGTATCTACCACATTTTCTTTATCCAGTCTATCATTGATGGGCATTTAAGTTGATTCCATTTCTTTGCTATTGTAAATAGTGCTGCAATGAACATATGTGTGCATATGTCTTTATAACAGTACAAATGGTATATTCCTTTGGGTATATACCCAGTAACGGAATTCTTGGGTCAAATGGTATTTCTGTTTTTAGGTCTTTGAGGAATTGTCACACTGTCTCTCACAATGTTTCAACTCATTTGCACTTCCATCAACAGTGTATAAGCATTCCTTTTTCTCCCCAACCTCACCAGCATCTGTTTTTTTAAATTTTTCATAGTAGTCATTCTGGCTAGTGTGACATGGTATCTCACTGTGGTTTTGATTTGCATTTCTCTAATGCTCAGTGATTTTGAGGGTTTTTTCATATGATTATGAGCCGCATATATGTTGTCTTTTGAGAAGTGACTTTTGAGAAGAACTTCATGTTCTTTGCCTGCTTTATAATGGGTATTTTTTTCCATATAAATGTAAGTTCCTTATAGATGCTGGATATTATACCATTCTGTATGCTGTCTTCTCACTCTGTTTATAGTTTCCTTTGCTGTACTGAAACTCTTTAATTCAATCCTAATTGTCAATTTTTGTTTCATTGGAATTGCTTTTGGCATCTTTGTCATGAAATCTTTGCCTGTTCCTATGTCTTGATGGTATTGCCGAGGCTGTCTTCCAGGGTTTTTATAGTTTGATTTTTATATTTTTTATATTTAAGTCTTTAATACATCTTGAGTTAATTTTTGTATATAGCATTAAAGAAGGGGTCCTGTTTCAATCCTCTGCATATGGCTAGCCAGTTATCCCAGGACCATTTATTGAATAGGGAATCCTTTCCCCCTTGCTTGTTTTTATATCAACTATTTCTTAAGTAGAAATAAGTATTTGGAAGAAGTAAAACATTTATAGTTTATCCAAATTATTTAATACATCTCAATAAGTTAGATACCAACAATCTCCAAACATTCAGTATTTCATGATATTTTTTTTTTCATTTGGTGGATCAACAGATTGATAAATGTTATTTTTCCTAGTGAACAGATTTCTAAAACTCTCACTACCACATTTGTCTTACAAACTAAAAAAAAAAACTTAAATTCAAATAGAATAAAAGGCATAATTTGAAAACCAAAAATAATCCTTCCTGAAAACAAATAAAACTTTTGATTCTGATGAGAAAATGCTGTCATGGACCAGTATAACAAGCACTAGAGTTTACAAGTCCTGTGTTTTTATCTCATCTCCAGTAATAAAGAGGCATGTTGCCAGAGACTGCATGTAGCCCTCCTTCTTCCCATCTTCCCACATGTACCAGGAAGAGACAAGGCTCAGCGGCTTTGACTGAGAAGACATTTATCAGGACTGTAAATGAAGCCCCTGCCAGTCACCCAAGACTTATCCAGTGTTCATCAAATCTGCACATAAATTCAGTTTGCCAAAATTCGTATTCCAAAAAAAGAATTATCAAGCATGGACAAGAAGCAAATCTAACAAAATGAAAGCTTGAAAAAGAGTAAGCTCTGCCTCTTATTGTAAAGCTCACCTTTACTTCTGGTGAAGTTCATGAAAATGGTGTATGAGAAAATACACTGAAGATTAATAGAAGATCCATGTGAGCTGTGACAGCATGAACGGCATTCACATTTAGGAAGCAAGAACTTGAACTCAGTTTTGTGGCATGCAGATCATGCCTGGAGGTGAGATTTCAACAGGGACAAAGACAGACTAAAATAGGCAAGAGGAGGCCATCAGAAGTGCGAAGGCCCTGGGCTGTTTCATAAAAAGATACTGACGACCCCAAGACTCCTCAGTATGTCAGAGCAGTAAAATTTCAGGAGCAATAGTCACTGTTTTCAGATGGCTTAAGAGCTGTCATGTAGAAGAGAAAACAGAACTGCCAGAGGCACGAGAAGGTCAAAATGATTGGAAACAAGGTCAAATAGACTTAACGCAGCATAAAGAAAAAATCTAAGTCTTACAGTTGCTCCCCTCTCCCCAGCCCCTAAAAACTGGAGTGATTTTCTTGAGCAATGTTGAGTTCCTTACACTGGGAAGTAAGAAATGTCCACATCAAGGAGTTCTACCAGGAAGTCTAACAAAAAGAAAAAAGACGGTGCTGTAGATTCCCGCTAAGAGCTGGAAATCTGATAATTTTACCATATAATCTTGAGTATCTCCCAGTTGCTTTCCCAGTCTTACTTTGCCCACATGTGAGACTACTATATATGATAAATTCAGAGCAGTTTGAATATGCTCCAGCTTTTATCAATAAACATACCTGGGTTTTTTTTCCCTACCTTTGACTATGCAACTATCATTTACTATTTTATTTTATTTTACTTTTTTATTTAGAGGCAGAGTCTCACTCTCTCACTCAGGCTGGAGTGCAGTAGTATTATTTGGCTCACTGCAACCTCAGTCTCCCAGGTTCAAGCAATTCTCTTGCCTCAGCCTCCTGAGCAGATGAGATTATAGGTGCCTGCCACCATGCCTGGCTAATTTTTATAAATTTAGTAGACATGGAGTTTCACCATGTTGGCCAGGCTGGTCTTGAACTCCTGACTTTGTGATCCACCTGTCTCAGCCTCCCAAAGTGCTGGGATTACAGGCATGAGCCACCACGCCTGGCCAGCTATAATCTATTGACTATTTTCCTTGAAAAGGGCACTGTAAAATTTTGAAGTAGGTTATATTATTATTCTCTCTTTAAAGATAGAGAAGCGGGCCGGGCTTCTCTATCTTTAGAGAGAATAACAAGAGCGAAACTCTGTTTCAAAAAAAAAAAAAAAGATAGAGAAGCTAAGTTTCAGAGTCCATACATAATTTGCCCAGGCCACACAGCTGGCAAGTCAAAGATGTAATTCCAAACCCAAATCTGTCTGAGGCTCTTAAGCCACATGGTGCATGGATTGAAAGCATTTAAAATGTATTATCTTGAAAGGATTCTCATTTTGCCCTAGTAGCATTTGTTTCATTGCTAAGTCCTATGCCTATAAATTTACACAAATTCCTGATTATCCGAGGATTAACTTAGAGATCAGTATCATGAAATTGTTGCCCTTCCCAGATCCGTTTTCTTTGATGTTAACACAAGCCTCCACCATGATTCCTCTTTTCATGTTCCGGGACTCACTGCCTATAAAAACGTTACCTCCAAAAACCCAGGATTATGTGTCTTTGAGCCTTCGACCATAGTTGCCTCTCTTTGCACTCCATTTCAGTTATTTACTATATGGGCTCAAGACCTATACCATATCTAAAATATCTTCTTTCTGACTATGACATTTCATCCTTTACACTAACTTCCTTATTTCATGACCCCTGAACTCTGATCTTGCTGTGATCTCATGGAAAACTGTTCCCTACTCTCCAAGAATGTTACTTCCTGCCCCTTGGCCTCCCCCGAATCTCATAATCTCACCTTAACCTCTTTCTCTCCTCTGACTCTAGACCTCCCTGTTACACATGCCCATCTAAACTCCAACCATGTGTCACTCTGGACCATTCACATCATCTGCTGCTACATATGGGTTGCTGATGTGGCTGCTGAAACCAAGCAGCCATGAAGAACGATGCCACAGTAAATGAGCACAATCCAGTTATAGCTGCTCTCTCACTCTACAGTGCTCAGCAACTCCTAGTCATTCCCCTCTATCATTTACCTCAGCCATTCCTCTAAACTGTCACTGTTCGCTACAAGCTTCTAAATCTCACTATTCTATTGTAGAACGTAACTTGTCGTCGTATTTCACTTTCCTCAAACTTCCAACTTGCCTCCTCGTTCTCAACACAGGAAATTCCCTTCTACTACATGGAGGAAAAAAAAAAAAACAAATCAAAAGTAGAAATTCCATTTGCTTTCTATTAGCACATCTATGTGCACCTGCATTCTCTTTTCCTTCATCTTTTATATTATATATGACCTATATATGTTCTAATATGATGCACAGACATACCACTGAGAGATTACAGACTGAGTTCCAGACCACTGCAACAAAACAAATATCACAAATATTCTGGTTTCCCAGTGCACATAAAAGTTGTGTTTATAACTATAATATACATATCTTAATTTTAAAATATTTTATTGCAAAAACTGCTAAAGATCCTTCAGCACATTGCAAACGTTTTGCTGGTGGATGATCTAGTCTTGATGTTGATGGCTGCTGACAGATCAGGGTGATGGTTGCTAAAGTCTGGGGTAGTTGTGGCAACTTCTTAAAATTAGACAACACTGAGATTTGCTGCATCAACTGACTTATTTTCATGAAAGATTTATCTGTAGCATGTGATGCTATTTGATAGAGTCTTACCCACAACATAACTTTAAAAATTGAAGTTAGTGCTCTCAAACCACACTGTTGCTTTACCTGCTAAGTTTATACAATGTTTTAAATATTTTGTTTTCTTTCTTTTTTTTTTGAGATGGAGTTTCACTCTTGTTACCCAGGCTGGAATGCAATGGTGCGATCTCGGCTCACCGCAATCTCCGCCTCCTGGGTTCAAGCAATTCTCCTGCCTCAGCCTCCCAAGCAGCTGGGATTACAGGCACGCACCACCGTGCCCAACTAATTTTTTGTAATTTTAGTAGAGACGGTGTTTCGCAATGTTGACCAGGATGGTCTCGATCTGTTGACCTCGTGATCCATCTGCCTCGGCCTCCCAAAGTGCTGGGATGACAGGCTTGAGCCACCGCGCCCAGCCAAATATTTCGTTTTCATTTTAACAATGTTTGTAGCATCTTCACCAAGAGTAGATTCCATCTGAAGAAACCACTTTCCTTGCTCATCCAGAAGAAGCAACTTCTTACCCATTCACATTTGATCATCAGATTGTAGCAATTCAGTCACAAATGCAGGCACCATCTCCAATTATAGGTATCTTGCTATTTCTACCATATTTTCATTTATTTTCTCCACAGAGGTCTTGAACCCCTCCAAGTCATCCATGAGAGTTAGAATCAACTTCTTCCGAATTCCTGTTAATGTTGATATTTAAACCACCTCCCATGAATCATGTTTTTAATGGCATCAGAAATGGTGAATGCCTTCCAGAAGTTTTCAATTTACTTGCCCAGATCCAACAGAGGAATGACAATCTATGGCAGTTATAGCTTCACAATGTATATTTTTTAAATAATCAGACTTGAAAGTTCAAATTATTCCTTGGTCTGTGGGCTGCAGAATGGATGTTGTATCCGTAGGCATAAAGACATCAATAGCCTTGTACATCTCTATCAAAGCTTTATAGCTACTAGGTGAATCAACAATGAGCAATAATATTTTTAATTTTTTGTTTTTCTGAGCAGTTGGTCTCAACGGTGGGCTTAAAATATTCAGCAAACCATGCTGTAAACAGATGTGCTGTTCCAGGCTTCATTGTTCCATTTATAGAGCACAGGCAGAGTAGATTAAGCATAAATCTTAAGGATTCTAGGATTTTTGGAAGGGTGAGCACTGACTTCAACTGAAAGTCACCAGCTGTGTTAGTTTTTAGCAAGAAAGTCAGCCTGTCCTTTGAAGCTGTAAGCCAGGCATCAACATCACTCCAGCTTTGAAAGTTCTGGAGGGCATCTTCTTCCAATACAAGGCTGATTCATTCACATTGAAAATCTGTTGTTTGATATAGCCACCTTCATTAATTATCTTGGCTAGATCTTCTGGGAAATGTGTACAGCTTCTACATCAGCACTAGCTCCTTCATCTTGCACCACTGTTATGGAGGTGGCTTATTTCCTTCAACTTCCTGAACCAACCTCTGCTGGCTTCAAACTTTCCTTCTGCAGCTTTCTCACCTTTCTCATAGTTCACAGAACTGAAGAGTCTTAGGGCCTTCATCTAGATCAGACTTGGCTGAAGGAGATGTTGTGGCTGGTTTAATCTTCTATCCGAAGAACTAATCCTTTCTCTATATAAGCAATAAGGCTCTTTCACTTTATCACTCATGTATTCCCCGGAGTAGCACTTTTAACTTCCTTCAAACACTTTTCCTTTGCATTTACAACTTGGCTGTTTGGTGCAAGTAGATTAGCTTTCAGCCTATCTCAGCTTTTGACATTTCTTCCTCCTCATTCCTAATCACTTCTAGCATTAGATTGAAAGTGTGAGATGCACAACTCTACCTTTCACTTGGACACTTGGAGGGTATTGCAGGGCTATTAAATGGCCCCATTTCAATATTGTTGTATCTCAGGGAATACTGACGCCTGAGGTGAGGGAGAGAGATAGGGGAGCAGCTATTGGCAAAGCCGTCAGAACACACACAACATTTATCTATTAAATTAACCATCTTATATGAGCACAGTTTATGATGCCCCAAAACAATTACAACGGTAACATTAAGGATCACTGATTGCAGATCACCATAACAGGTATGACCATGATGAAGAAGTCCGAAGTATTGCAAGAGTTACTAAAATGTGACACACAGACTTGAAGTGAGCACATGCTGTTAGGAAAATGGTGCTGAGACTTGCTTGATGCAGGGTTGCCAAAAACCTTCCATTTGTGAAACAAGAAAACAGTACCTTTGAAACACAATGAGATGTGTCTATAAAAGGCCAGTTTCTTATATACGCATATATAGGTGTATATTAGACAAATTTCTCATATATGCACATTTAGGTCTGTGTTTTATATGTAGAGAGTATATAATATATATATATATGTATATATATATATATATAGTGTGTGTGTGTGCATATATATAAAACACATTCCATCAGGAATGACAATAACATTTCTGATAGAGGAGCCAGAGACATATAGTCATATACTATATGTCTTAGTATAGTATATGCATACTATAGTGTATAACTATATGTCTCTGGCTCCTCTATCGGAAATTTTATTGTCAATATGCACTTTCTATTATTTTTCCTTTTTGGAGGCAGAATCTGGCTCTGCAACCCAGGCTGGAGTGAAGTGAGGCGATCACAGTTCACTGCAGCCTCGACCTCCCAGGCTCAAGTGATCCTCCCGCCTCAGCCTGCCAAGTAGCTGGGACTGCAGGCGCGCACCACCACGACTGGCTAATTTTTGCAATAATACACTTTCTTTTCTATTTTCTTCAAACTTTTAAATTCTACTTGTCAGTATTCTCAGATTTTCTGCAATTAGCATCTACTACTAGTATCTTTGAAACACAATGAGATATGCACACTCATTGATAAAGTACTGCTTTTGTAAAGGTGTGATATTTTTCTTACTGAACTAGTGTCTTGGTTTTTACATTCTGCCAATCCGGTAGATTCTCTCAGTCTCAGGGTGCCTCCAGGTTAATGCCGTCTTGCCATCTCCGGGTGCCCTCTGCTGGCAAAATGAGAGTACAACATGTCAGTCTGGAGAAGGTGAGACACCACTTCATAATTATCAAACATTGGCAAGTTTATAAAATGCCATCAGTTTGGGAGGCCGAGACCGGCGGATCATCTGAGGTCAGGAGTTCCTGACCAGCCTGGCCAGCATGGTGAAATCCCATCTCTACTAAAAATAAAATAAAAAAATCAGCCGGGTGTGGTGGCTGTGCCTGTAATCCCAGCTACTTGGGAGACTGAGGCAGAAGAATTACTTGAATCTTGGAGGTAGAGATTGCAGTGAGCTGAGATCTCACCATTGTACTCCAGCCTGGACAAGAGTGAAACTCCATCTCAAAAAAAAAAAAAAAAAAAAAAGCTTTCGCATCCATAATTGCATAACACTAGTTAATATGTTAAAATGTTGCTCTCCTTATTTCCTTTTGAGCTGACATAGATTACAAGTGGACTGTCCAATGTGGTAGTCCAGTAGTAGCCCGTGACTCCTGAGCACTTGAAAAGTATCTAGTTCAGTCATGGTGATGTGGCTCACGCCTGTAATCCCAGCACTTTGGGAGGCCAAGGTGGGCGGATTGCCTGAGGTCAGGAGTTCAAGACCAGCCTGGCCAACATGGTGAAACCCCTTCTCTACTAAAAATACAAAAATTAGTCAGGTGTGGTGGTGGGCTTCTTGTAGTCCCAGCTACTCGGGAGGTTGAGGCAGGAGAACCGCTTGATCCTGGGAGGCAGAGGTTGCAGTGAGCCAAGATGGCACCAAGGCAACCCAGCCTGGGTGATGAGAAACTCTGTCTCAAAAAAAAAAAAAAAAAAAAGAAAAAAGAAAAGTACCTAGTTCAAATTGAAAGGCCTATGAATATACACCATATTTGAAGAGCTACAGTGGAAAAAAACAAATGTAAAATATGTAATTAATAGTGTATTGATTACATGCTAAAATAATATTTTAGATGTATTAAATTTTTCTCAACTCATAATTTTCTACCTTTTAAAATATGGTTACTGGAAAACTGTAAATACATATATATATCTTGCATTGTATTTCTACTTTACAATATACTACAGATAGCACATTCTAAAGTCATAGTATCAGGCAGAAATTTCAATGTAGATGGTAAAAAATGGTTAAATGACACCTGAAATTCTCATGTAGATTGAGGGTCTAAAAATCACTGGGAAAACAAAGATCTGAGAAAGATTTTATTAATTTTTTGGATCAATTTTGGAGAATCACTGATGTGTTAAGTGCCAAAGACCACCATCTCTCCTCAGAGTGGGGAGAGGGTAGGAAGTGCCTACACCTTGATTCAGGCCTATTGAGGGGCATCAACTGGACCACCATGAGAGCCTGCCAAGAGGCCAGACATGGCCTATGGGAGCAAAATACAAGGGTGTGACTAGGGAAGTAACATGCTTTGCATCGGCATTCCCAATCAAATCCCACATTGAATCGTAATCCCCAGTGTTGGAGGTGGGGCCTGGTGGGAGGTGACTGGATCACGGGGATGGATTTCTCATGAATGGTTTAGTGCCATACCCTTGATACTGTCCTCACAGCAGTGAGTGATTCTCCCCAGGCCTGGTCGTTTGAAAGTGTGTGAAACCTC